GGAGGAAAATGAACTTGAATTGTTCTGAGAGGAGGTCGCAGAGTAGGGTTTCTTTTAGATATTTGAGAGGGAAATATGGGAGGAAAGTTACAAACACGTGCACTCATGGCTGGAAGTTTGGAATTTGCACTAAACAATTGCCCATAATTCGGTTGAAGAAGTAGAGAGATGAAGGTGTTTTTTCTGTGTTGAATAATTCATAAAGAAGACTGCCTTTTTATAGGAAAAGTTGTTTGGACAGTTACAGATGAAGGAATTAATCTGTAGCCGTTACAGAAATTAAAATGGAGATGCTACAAAATTAACCAAAGTTGTTACAGAAATTAAAGCATGGCAGTTACAAAGAAATAAATGGAATGTTACAAACTTCAATTCAAAGAGAATGAATTTGGACATATTTTGGTAAACTCAAAATTGAAGAAATAATTTTAGCAAAATCAGATTTGGAACACATATATCTCGCACGCAATGGGGGAAAATCGACCCGTTTTACCTTCAGGACCAATTTCTCATGTGCACGAGACCACTCCCTTTTACTAACTCTTTACAAGCCCAATAAAGAGCAATTCAATATAAAGAGAAGGAAAAAACTTCCCACCACCAATGAGGGACACTTTGTCTTTCACAAAAGACAAAGAAGTAAAGAAAGAAAAGGGACCACAAAGAAATCTTTGACTTTGCATTATAAATAATAGCAACAATTCCCCACTAATGCAAAGACAAAAATAGAACAATTCTGGGCAAAAGAAGAAACATGTACTTAAGTGTCAATGTCTTTCGATTTGAATTGACACGTAGTGAAATGAGGCAACAACTAACATCCACAAAGTGAAGTACTCTTGAACCAATGGACATTAGTTGAGACCCCCACAACACATGCTACATCCTTAATTTTATGCAAACTTCGCGATAATAACAAAGTGCTTTTATGGTCATGCACATACCTTGGGTCTCATGAGTGCTCTAGAAAGACATCCCAAGTCTTTCATAAAAGGCGACCGCGCCTTTACACTCACGTAGGTGATTCCATCAAGTCTATCTACACATAGACCACCTTAAGGCTAGAGAATCATTAAGAGCAAAATAAGTTCAACCTTATAAAGCACTATCACACGCCATAGGGATAGGAAATGTAGTGCATATTGAGGTCTTATATGGCTTCGTTTGACCACAAATGGGTATCCACCATACTTCCTCAATCCATGGGCTTTAGCCCCATCTCCCTCGACGTTTCAAGGATAACTCTCTTTGCCAAACCCTTGGTTAAAAGATTCCCCAAATTTCTTTCGGATCTTACATATTTCAAGGAAGTAACACCATGTTTGAACAACTGTTTTACCGCACCATGCCTAATGCGGATATGTCTTCTTTTTTCATTATACACACTATTTTTGGCAATTCCAATTGCCGCATGTGAGTCACAATGTAGAAAAACGGGTGAAGCTTGTCTTCCCCATAAAGGCATGTCTGCCAATAAGTTTCTCAACCATTCGGCTTCTTGCCCTGCCAACTCAAGAGCAATGAATTCAGACTCCGTAGTAGATCGTGATATACAAGTCTGTTTTGAAGACTTTCAAGAAATAGCTCCTGCAGCCAAAGTAAACACATAGGCACCAGTGGAGTTAACTTCATCATTGTTAGTAACTCAGTTTGCATCACAAAATTCTTCTAAAATAGCAAAAAATTTATTTAAATGCAAACACCAATCCATAGTACCCCTCAAATACCTTAACAAATGATGAAAAAAATTCTAGTGTTCATTAATGGAGTAGTGAGTATATCTACTCAATCTTCTAATAGCATAAGCAATATTAGCTCGTGTATAATTCATAAGAAACATTACACTACCAATTATATTAGCATATTCAGTTTGATAAATACTAGATTCCTTATTCTTTCTCAAGTGTATGCTAGGATCATAAGGAGTTCTCACAGGAGTTACATCAAAACAATTAAACCTTTTCAACGTTTTCTCAATATAATGAAACCGCGACAACGAAAAATCACTAGAAGTTCTTTTGATTTTAATCCCTAAAATCACATCTACTTCTCCAAGATCTTTCATTTCAAATTTAGAAGACAAAAAATTCTTAGTCTCATTAACAACATTCACATTAGGGCCAAAGATTAATATGTCATCCACATACAGACATATAATCACACAATCTGATCTTATCGTCTTGGAATAAACACAAGTATCAGATGCGTTAACAACAAAACCATTAACCACTAATGTGCTATTAAACTTTTTATACCATTGTTAGGTGCGCTTTAGACCAGACTTTCTCAATTTGCATACTTTATTCTCTTATCCTTGGATCACAAATCCCTCAGGCTGAGACATATATCTCTCTTCCTCTAAATCACCATTTAGGAAAGCCGTTTTAATATCCATTCGATGTTTCACTAAATTATGAATAGCGGCTAAAGCAACAAGAGTTCTAATGGTCGCTATCTTAGTCACAGGAGAATAAGTGTCAAAGTAATCAATGTCTTTCTTTTGGTTAAAACCCCTAATAACAAGTCTAGCCTTATATTTCTCAATTGTACCATCATGTCACAATTTATTCTTAAATATCCACTTGCTACTTATGGGTTTACAACCTTTAGGCAAATCAGACAAGTCCCAAGTGTGATTAGAAACTATAGAGTCTAATTCACTTTTAGTGGCCTCTTTCCAAAAATAGCATCTATTGACCTCATTGCTTCACTATATGTCTTAGGGTCTTCTTCTATTAAATAGATTGACACTAATTCATCACTCAAAACATCAAGAACAATATTTTCAGTCAAGAAAGTAGTAATAAAATCAGGACCAAAGCTAACTTCAATTCTACGCCTCTTACTTCTTCTAAGTTCATTTTCATGCTCATTAGCAGTAAAACTAGAAGAATGCACAATATGAGAATTAACAGACATAGATGTAGAAGCATTATTAGGCACATCACTAGGAACATTATTTTTTAATGGAAAAACATGCTCAAAAAATTCTACATCTCTAGATTTACAAATAGAACTATCATTCAAAGACATAAATCTATATGCAGCATTATTTTGAGCATAACCAATGAAAATAGCATCAAAAGTCTTGGGTCCAACAGTTACTTGTTTAAAATCAGGTAGACCAACCTTAGCCAAACACCCACACACTTTCAGAATTTTCAAGTTAGGGGCAAACCCTTTCCATAACTTATACGGGGCTTTATCTAACTTCTTATGAGGGACTTTATTAAGAACATAGCATGCAGATAAAACAACTCCCCCCCCCCCCATACATTATCAGATAAACCCGAACTCAAAAGTATAGAATTCATCATTTCCTTAAGAGTTCTATTTTTTCGCTCGGCTACACCATTTTATTGGGGAGTATAGGGAGCACTAACCTCATGTATAATACTATTTTTCTCACAAAAGGTTTCTAGAGTATTAGTACTATATTCACCACCCTGTCAGACCTAATTCTCTTGATTTTTCTATCCAATTGGTTCTCTACTTCTGCCTTGTATTCCAAAAATATGCTTTCAGCCTCATCTTTTGAATTAAGAAGATATACCTTAGTGTATCTAGAAACGTCATCTACAAAGGTGATGTAGTATTTCTTTCCACCCTTACTAACAGTGTTCTTGAAATCCGCTATGTCTGAATGCACTAGTTCAAGCAATTATGTCTTTCTACTAGTTACATTCTTAAAAGGCTTTTTGGTATGTTTTGCTTCTACACAAATAGGACACTTAGGAAAATTATCTACACTAACTGCAGGAATTAATTCAATTATTCTAATTCCTTTAATAGAAGCAATATTAACATGACCTAGTCTACCATGCCACAAATCAATAGACTCAGCAATATAAGTAGAATTTAAAGTACTAGCATTATTAGTAATCTCTTGAGCGATGTTCAGTATAAAAAAAATCCACTAAGGTAAACCTTCCCAATAAAGTCTCCCCCACGAGAAATAATAACTTTATCAGATTCAAAAATAAGTTTAAGACTTGCTTTGTTGAGAAGCGCACTAGAAACTAAGTTTCTACGAAGGGAGGGTACATATAGAAGATTGTTCAAGGCTAAAGTTTTTCCAGAAGTTAACTTAATGAGAATTTTTCCTTTACCCATAACTCCAGCTGTAGTGGATTTACCCATGTAGACATCAGCAGATTTCTCAAAGTCGTGAAACATCTCCTTGTTGGTGCAAAATTGCCTTGAAGCGCCTGTGTCTAGTATCCAGACAGTCTTGTTAGCCACCATGTTCCTCAACAACCACAGCAACAATGATATCACCACCCTCAGTAAGGTTAGCTTGGACTGGAGCCTTTCCTCCATTCTTTGAGCTTTGTCTTTGTCTTTGTCTCTGGTTGCACTAAAAAGTCCTGTGACCAATTTTGCCACAGAAATAGCAAGGTCCTTTCGACTTTTGAATATGGCCCTCCGGCTTATTGAAGTAATTCTGCTTCTTCACATGTTCTTTCTTCTGGTCTTTGTTGTGTTTTCCTTTAATCCTGTCTTTCACAAAAGTACTAGAAGATTCCACAAGGTTAGCTTTAGAAGAATTAAGAGAGAGATATTTTATCTTATCCTTAAGTCGTTCAGGCTCCTCATCTTTGAGACGGCTTGCTTCCTCGGTCCTCATGTGACTGATAAGTTCTTAAAGAGTTAAGTTTTTCTTCTTGTGTTTCAGTTGATTCCTGTAATCACTCCGGGAAGGTGAAAACTTTTCAAGCAAAACATTATCCTGAAGAATCTCACACATCTCCGTGCCAAATTTGGAATAGGCCTCACGTATATCTCTCGCGCATGGGGTAAATCGACCCGTTTTGCCTTCAGGATCAATTTCTCATGTGCGTGAGACCACTCCCATTTACTAGATCTTTACAAGCCCAACAAAGAACAATTCAATATAAAGAGAAGGAAAAGGCTTTCCACCACCAATGAGGGACACTTTGTCTTTCACAAAAGACAAAGAAGTAAAGAAAGAAAAGGGGCCACAAAGAAATCTTTGACTTTGCATTATAAATAATACCAACAGTATCTACGCTAAAGTGCTATATTGTTACACTCTTATATGAAGGCATGGGTGGAGCCGAACCCCTTCACTAAAAAATTACATTATATATACTAGGTCAAATTACTTTTTTGATGTATATATAGTAGTGGTGAATCCTCTTGACTTCTTCGTGTATTTAATTTTTTCTATTTTGAATCCCCTAAGTGAAGGTTCTCCATCCGTCTCTGTATGAAGGCATTCTATTTTGCGCATAACTGACAGAGGAAATATCACATTATTTCCTTTTAGATTGTGTTTGTAAGTCATTATTTCATGTCATTTTAAAAGAAAGTTAGATTTTGTCAAGAGTATTATTTGAATATTAGGATGATGACATTGAACACAGTTTGCAATATCTATACTAAGGCATTGAATGTGGTTATACGATTTGATTCTTTCTTTTAAAATGTCTTTCCAGACTGGAACATTACTGTTTGAGCTTACTTTTGGCTTTTGCCTGCTATCTGAACTTTTTTTGTCCTACAGAATTATTTCTTCCAATTTGATACCAAGATTTTGAACTATCTTGTACCTTTTGGTATAATCTGATTATACATGTGCATTAACTCCACTTGACATTCTGCAAATTCTCACAGTTTTGATTATGTTCATCTATCATTTACTGAGGTAAGAGCTCTGCTTTACATAGTGACAGGGGCGGAGTTAGAGCGCTGAGACCGGGTTCAACCGAACACAGTAGTTTTGGTTCGAATCATGTATTTGTCTTAAAAAGTTCATTGAATATGTATAAATTATTAATTTAGAACTCAGTAACTTAAGATAATTAATAACGCGAACTCATAAGCTTGAAATCCTAGCTCCGCCTTTGTATAGTGATATGCACTTAGTCATGTGAGAGTCTGCGACTGAAGTTGATTCAGACCTAAATCAAGTCATATTCGCCTAATCTCCGCGAAAATTCTGATTTACTCTCAAAAGGCTCCTTTTTTTCATCGCCATGTTCCCTGTGCGACAAAGTGAGGACGAAAAAGGGAAGGATAAGGACAAAGTCTCGCCTTTTGAATTAAAAACAACAAAAAGTATTTTTAAAAGTATGGATTGGCACTTGAAATCTAACCCTAATAAAATAGATACAAAAGTAAGATTGTTTATGCATTAAGATATTTCCTTGTACTCCTCCTAAATTGGGAGTGGTTTTAAAAATATAAAAAAAAACAGATATTTCCTTGTACCGTTTAAAGTTACACACAATCTTGATTCTTGAGTCATAAATTCTATACGGGTGGAGCTAACCTTATCCAAGAAGAAATCCAATTGATACCCTTGGCCGAAAAATTACATAGGTCAATCTTTCAGTGTATATGTATTGCAAGTTGATACGTCCTCAGTTCTTCATATGTTTACTTTCTATTTTGAATCCCGTGAAAATCTTTTCTAGATAATAACCTTGTGGACATGTTGGTTTTCAGAAGAAATGGTTCTGCTGTTTGCGGTCCGGTGCTGCCGATTGATGAACTCTGTTTGCTAATAGACACTGCAATGGGAAGTATAACTTTTTTGAATACCATATGCTAATATAGTGTTCCAGAAGACTGGACCTGTAGTCAAGCTGTGATGGATCCTGCTGGAATAAAATTCAATTGTTTATACTAACTCAGATTATAGCTTTTTGCTACTAAAATATATTGCATTATCTATGTGTTTAATTTTTTCTAGCCTTGAGTTTTCTACTGTTAATATTAGTTTACAAGTTTATCACTGACAATTGAGGATTGCTCAGTTGGTAAAGCACCCCCACCCGCGACCGTTAGGTCCTGGATTCGAGTCATGCCGTAGGGAAGTGTGGAAACACTAATATCCTCCTAATTTGGGAGAGAGTTAATAAATTTTTAAAAAATAATTTAACAGCTGAAGCTTGACAAGTTCCGAAAGGAGCCCGTTCTTCCATTTTTAATCTTTATTTTGTCCTTTCCATTCACTCGGATTTCTTCCGATTCATCGATTTTGCCGGATTTATTTTGTCCTTTTCCATTCACTCGGATCCCACCTTTATTTCGAAAAAAGGGAAGGAGAAGGATCTTGTGCAGTGGATCTCTCTTGTTCCTGTTTAGCTCTTTCCTGCGTACCTTCTCTTTTTATAGAATCTGATGAAAAGATCGCACTAGAATGGATCCTTCTTTTACTTTCATGACAGTAACTTATAAAATAAGACAAAGAACAAGAAGAAAAAAGTTATCTTTAGATTCAAAGATTTGGGACGACTTGCTGCAGGATTGCATATCGGTGTTCATAACACACAGCGGAAGACAATAACAATCCTACGCGGAACTTTTTGTGTTTAAAATTTATTTATATGTCAAAAATCGGATCTAAGCCGTACCTGGTGAAGAGAGTCTTGTTTTAAATTTCTTCGATAGTGCGAAGACTCTATGCGTATCCACACTGAGACTGATCCTTGCTATCAACTCTTTGATCAATGAAATCCCGCGAACAAATTGAATGAAAATATTGTGTTGAAATTTTTCTTAAAAATCTCAACTCAAAGGTAAAAGAACAAGAAATAATTTTCTTATACTAGTATTTTCTATCTTGACTTTATATTGCACTATTACTTTCTCAAAGTAATTTTTTTCTCAAGAATAATTCTCTTGGTTTTTACATGACTTTACAATATATGTAAGATCTATATCACCCTAATTCTTAATTAGGACTCACACATATATATACACATAATTTCCATTGGAAAATACAATCACATGCTTTATGGTAAATATTTAAAAAACATGTAACTCATTTATGGAATTCAATTGTAAATTAAATTCTACAACTTAGTCATACTTTTAAAATAAAAATATGTAACTTATTTATGGAATTAAATTCTAAATTGAATTCTACAACTTAGTCAACATTTTAATATAAAAATATGTAACTCATTTATGGAATTCAATTCTAAATTGAATTCTACAAATTAGTCAACATTTTAAAATAAAAACATGTAACTCATTTATGAAATTCAATTCTAGATTAAATTCTACAAATATAAATTATAATGTCACGAATCAATTTCTCCTCTGTTGGGTATCGTGATGGCACCTAGTCTTAGGGACTAGGTAAGCCTAACATTTACTGAGTAACAACAATAACAAAAGAAATCTAACAGTTTCGATATAGAAATCTTTACAAAATTTACAATTTCCTAAAATCGGTAGTACAAGTCATAAGCTCTACAGAGTTTACTATCACTTCTAAATACAACTGTTCTGAAGTAAGTAAAAACAGTGTAAATACAAAATAGGAAGGTGACTACGAAGCTTGCGGACGCAGCGGCAAGTTTAGCTTGAGTCTCCTCAGCAAGGATCCGCACAGCTACTAACAATCGATACCTGGATCTGCACAAATATGTGCAGAAGAGTAGCATGAGCACACCACAGCGGTGCCCAGTAAGTATCAAGACTAACCTCGGTAGTAGTGACAAGGACTAGTCAATACACCCACTGGTCTAATAAACTGAACAAGTATAAGTATAGGGATGACAGAACATGACATCTGTCTAAGGAGCCCGCGATAAGGCTAACGACATAACAACTGCAATAAGGAAGAAAAATAAACAGCAAGTAACAGCGGAACACCAGAATAAGACACAGAAGAATGAACAGAAACACAACCCATAACCGAAAAATCACAATACAGTAAAGGCAAGTAGTAACTCATCAACTGCAATAGTTTCACATCAGGTCTCAGCCAACAAACCCCAATAAATTAGTCTTCAAGTGTAAACTTTCACCCGTAAGTTTTTTTTTTTTAAATTGAGGTCTTTAGAATATAATCCTTTCCAATAAAAAATTATTTTTGAAATATATTTCTTTCAAATAAATATCTTTCAAACATAGTTCTTTCAAGATAAAAAACTTTTCAAGTATAACCNCGTAGTCCCAATTTAAATATGCAGCGCAAACAACAGAGATAACAACTATAACACGACAGAAACCCCGTACATCACCTCAATGAGTACAGAAACAACAATGACAGAAATGCAAAGTACGACGAGCAAATCAACTTAAGAATTTAAATCACAAGAACGGTAGAACTCATTCACAAGGAATAACCACAGTAAAGAATGCTAGGCACAAAGAGAGCAGCTTAACTAGGAAAAACAAAACAAAATGTAGCAACGATTCCACAATATTCAAGTCAATAATAAGAAGCCAACACGAGTCAAATAGTTCCAAATAATGGCAAGTCAACTAAGATATAGGTTATCTAAACTCCTTTTGAGGTTGAGCAATTACGAGAAATATTCAACAATTCAAGTAAGGATAAGTAGCGGAAGATAATCATAACTCCAATTTAGACTAAACAATTATAGGATGAGAAAATAATAATTTCAATTAAAGATAAGCAGTTATGAAAAATATAGCACGACGATAGAAGAGGTAAAATCTTTGGTTAAGTCGAATAAGGGTCAAATAGACAATAAGAGTGAATCCTAAAGTAATTATCTCTAATCAAAGCGTGTAGAGATGAAACTAGCAAATAGGAATTCAAACGTATCAAAAACAACATCATACACGGTGAATATAAGGACATAAGAACCCTAAAAGACCAACTTTCCACAAATAAATTCGAGCACACACTCGTCGCCTCGCGTACACAGACTACAATCAGCATAAATGACTCAAATCCTAAGGGGTAGTTCTCCCACATAAAGTTAGGCAAGATACTTACCTCGGGTCAAGCTCAATCAATTAGTAAGAATGCCCTTTCCACGAATATCCGGCTCTGAATGGCCCAAATCTAGCCAAAAGCATTTACATATCATAATTACAACAATAATAGTCTCATCTAATTAACGAAATCAACATTTAAACGAAAATTCTGAAATTAACTCAAAATTGCCCATGGGGCCCACTTCTCGGAATCGGGTCAAAGTTATAAAATACGAAATCTCATTCACTCACGAGTCTAACCATATCAAATTTACTAAAATCCGACACCAAAATCTCGATCAAAACCCCAAAATTCGGCCTAAGAACTTTCCTCAATTTTTCACCCCAAATCTGAATTTAAACGATGAATTCGAGAACAGATTAATGGAATATAACCATAAGGGAGTTAAGAATCATTATCCAAAAACTTCCTCCGAAAATCTCTCCAAATTCCGCCTTCTACCGAGCTCTCAATCAAATTTGTGAAGTGAACTTCAAACCCTCGAATCTGCCCCTTTTCTGCCCAGTTATTCCGTATCTGCGGACCTTGGGTCGCACCTATGGAATTTCCTTCGCAGGTGCGGAAACGATTTAAGAGGGTTGGATCCGCTTCTGCGGAAAGAAAAAAAAGGGTGGTACCTGCGAGTGCGCGCCTACGGACTATTGTCCACTTCTGCGATCTCTTCCGCGCCTGCGTGTCCTTTAGCGCATCTATGGGCATCGCAGATGCGGCATTTCCCTTTGCACCCGTGACCCCTGACCACACATCACAAATTCGCTTCTGCGCTTGCCTCTCCGCATGTGCGACCACGCACCTACGGTCTCTTCACCGCAGGTGCGAAAATGACAGATGCCTAAAGACTTCAGTAGCAACACAAATCCAACTTTTGATCCATCAAGCACTCGAAATTCACCCGAGCCCCCCGAGACCTCAACCAAACATACCAACCAATCCTAAAACACCATAAAAATATAGTCGAGCCCTCAAATCACATCAACTAACGCTAAAATCATGAATCACTTTCCAATTCAAACTTATAGAACTTGAAACTTCAAATTCTTACAACCGATACCGAAACCTATCAAACCACGTCCGAATGACCTCACATTTTGCACACCGGTTACAAATGACACTACGAACCTATAGCCACTTTCAGAAATCCATTCCGAGCTCCATATCAAAATTTCCACTATCGGCCGAAATCGCCGAAAATTTAACTTTCGTCAATTCAAGACTAAAACTACTTCAGGCCTCCAAAACACATTCTGGATATGCTCCAAAGCTCAAAATCACTCAACGGATCTAACGGAGTCGATGGAATTCCATTCCGAATCCGTCTTCATACAGTTCTGACTACGGTCCAAATTCCAAGACTTAAGCTCTCATTTAGGGACTAAGTGTCCCAATTCACTTCGAATCACCCGATAATTAAATTCAACCACGCACGCAAGTCAAGGCATGTAATACGAAGCTTTTCAGGGCCTTATGCCACCGGACGGGAATTAAATTCTCAAAACGACCAGTTGGGTCGTTACATATAATTTTATATATATATATCAACCAAGAGATGTAATTTAATTTTCTTATTTAAAATAGAAAACTTAAACTTGTCCACAATATTAATTATATCCTATATGCTAGCAAAGAATATAATAATATTGCATTTGGATTAATAACTAAATTTATTTGACTAATTAAATTATTTAATTTAATTATCAAATAATAAAGTAATTAATCCTTTAGCAAAGATCAGAACACTCGTTAGTGTGTGACCCCATAGGTTCAATACTAAACCGGTAGTAAATTAATCACATCAATATACTAATCAAGGGTGGCGTCTAGCAACACTCATTAACGACCGGATATCATGAAGTATACAATTTACTCTCAAGAACCTGTAGAAGAATAATGTATTAATTCCTTCTGTCCTTATAGCTCTGGGTCACCCTAGGATATGATTCAACTGTCAAATCTTAATAGGCGGCCGGTTACGTGTTCCTGTAAAAAATAATCGACCATTGAATGACCTAAGAAACTCTTTTCTTCTTTCATTTAATCGCCCTGGCTAAGGTCTTAATTTGGTCGGTTATAAT